AGTATCATTTAAAAGAAGCAGTTTTATAATACAAATATATATTTTATTTTTTTTGTAGCAGGCTGTACAAATATATAATTCTACTGTAAAGTATGGAATTTGGGCTTGATGGGATTTGATTGTCTTTTAGATGGTAATTTCTTATGCTCTTCATAGACACAACTTCACTACATACAGTAGCCAACATTTGCATAAACTCCTACATAAGCTGCTTCCAAATAAAGCTTGAAGGACCAACTCAGTGTAAATGCTGAACTGTTGCCTGCCTGCTCTTGGACCTCTTTTGCCAGTTAGTATGGTGGCTGGCACTGACAGCACCACAAAAAATGTGTCTTGTCTGCAGTTACATAGAAAAGGTACTTTACATTTACCAGCTCACATTCTTTTAATTCTTTATGAGACTATTAAAATGAGGAATTGTTTTATGCAGCCCTCACTTGGGTAATGTTCATTGGAAATGTTGTGGCTTCACTTGCTGGCACTACCAACCAGTCAGTGTAGCTCTGTCTCCTCTCTCCTCCGCCTGTAGCCATTCTCCACCTCAGCTGAGACTGTGAGCCACCACCAGATGAGACACATTCTTTTAACTCTAGGATTGCTAACTAACAATGACGGGAATGATAAGTCGCAATGATGGATATATAAAATACCTCGTTTTTGTATCTTCACTGAAAATATGTCTTTATGTAATACGCTTTGTAGTTTGCAATAATATTGAAGTTGAGGATAGCAAACAGACAGCTTTGTATTCTTGAAATAAAGGAATACGAAGCACAACTGGATGTTGAGCTAAGTGATGAAGGTCAAGTTAAATGAGCATGTTTCAATTTCGTAAGTTTGTGGCAGAAATTTGATGATTAAAAAGTGAATAAACTGGGTGCTGAATCCAAAAAACGAAAAGGTATAAAGAGGTTTAAAAAAAATTATCCGCACACCAAGGTCTAAGGAAGAGCATGTTGAAACGTCACTTGCTCAATCCTTTAACAAGAGCTCCTTGGTGTGCTGATCTTTTATGATTAAAAATTGTATCCCATTTCAACGGCTTACCCTTGCTGTTCACTATACTGTTACAGTTACTTCATCTGCTACTCTACAACGTTATTAGATTTGTCAAATGAGAAATATATGCTCACCAAAAGACAGCGTGAAAGTTTGTGCCATTACATTTCCATAAAAGATCAAAATCGAAAGGAATGATTAAAGACAGCAATGGAAGTATGGTTTCAAGAAAAAGTATATTTTGTCTCAAGTTACTCAACAAAAAATATTTTGGCTGGCTTTTTTTAGTTGTTGTTGTTGTTGTTGTTGTTGTTGTTGTTAACCGGCCAATGACACCACACTAAAGTCCATGTTGGCTGCTAGCTTTGAGGCAACATCAAAAACCATTAGCACAACACTGATTGGCCGGTGACCTCCCTTTATCCAGAGTGGACAAACTGGTGTTGGACCAATGACAGTAACAGAAAACTATATCAACCAACACTCTGCTTTATATATTGAAATGATGAATAAGAGATGTTGGGTGGTTTGTTATTTAGGAGGCAGTTGGAGAAAGGGATAGTGCAGGTGATGGGTGAGAACAACAAAGCCTTCATTATGGATTTTTTTTAACAAATCAATCAATGAGCAGGATTGTGAATAACAACAGCAAAGCAAAGGGAGGTCCGGGTAGTGTGGGTGAGATGCTCCCTTGCCGTTTTGTCCTCGGTGAGTATTTGAAACAGAGGACTTCGCCAATTTATTCTTTCCTGGAATGCCTTTAGCTAATCTTAAGAAAGACGGAGTCCTTGTTGTGTTTAAGAGAAGAGCTACATTTGAAATGTGTCACCAAGCTGACAATAATTGTGTCAACGTCTCCAGTATATTGGAACCTGCTTATGCACTTGTACACTTACCCACACTTCATTGTGGGTAAAATAATAAGCAAAGTAAACAATGTGATTCTGTTTTGGTACAAAAAACTTACTTCAAACTTTAGAGTAACAATAGAGCAACATCTAGGTTGAATCTATTGGCAAAATATACGTATACAGGCTTCACAAACAAAAAAGGAGGAAAGGTTTATGTGATGAGCATCGAGTATCTTTTGTGGACTTGTTTACGAGAGGCAAACACGTAAATCCACAAGCGTTGTACTCCAGATGGAGGTCTAGTGTTGATAGCAGTGACTCAATCTATGTGCACAAGTTTCTAGATGGTTCAAATAAGGATGAAACATCCTAAAAGGAACGTTTGAAAATGTATCACATACATTTAAAAGCAGAGACTGTTTTTATTGTTATAAGAAGAAGACCATGAGAGCAACATAACCAGTAAATACTGGCTAATGTTAGAGGTGAAAACTGAAAACTGGCAGTGTAACTTGTTATTGATAGATAGTCACAGATGTTCACATAAAAGAATAATGAATTAAAGATTTACATTTTTCTGTTTTTTTTTTTTTGCTAAGGTCAAGCAGCTGATTAATGCAATTATGATAATAATGACTGCAATCAGCGCTGGCTTTTGATTTGTCTAATGTTTAAAAATAAATTTGCTTGGTAAAAAGTTGATAAGAAAGTAAGTTGATTGAGTTATAACTACTACTATAGGGAGCACAATGACCTTTGCTGTCCTTGTCATTCTTTTAGAGCTTGACCCATTTGCATGCTGCTGTAGTGTTTCTCTTTTTGCATATTTGGGTGGCCTTTTTCAAAGTTTTCTAATCACTTTATTTTTGTTCCCTGTCTCTTTCCAACATATGAACTTATTCAACGTAAATATATAATCCAAAAAACGTAAACAAAAGCATGAGACCTACGTATGTGTCACTGTCATTATAAGTGATTGGCTAGATTTTGGCAAAAATGATTATGTTTGTTTTATAAATCAATGTCTTTTTTTAAAGTTAGTGAACTCAAAAAGTATGAATTGACTGAGTGAGTGACAAAGTGCATCAACAGCAGTAGTAGCAGTATGTCAGGAACCTGCTATTCATATAGTTATTTCTAAGACATCCCTTCATTGGTCCCATTACATTGTCTTTTAAAAGCGATTTAAAAGCATGTGGGGACATTGGTTTAACTTGGTTGTTAAATCGCGTGTCTCATGTACAGAGGCTATAGCCCTCAGAGTGGTGCCACCACATGTTTCTGACTCCAAAATAAAAACATCTTTAAAGAGATGATTTGATTTTAAAAGTGGTTCTGTGATGGATAAAACGTTTCGATAAGTTTTTTTAAAGAGTGATATTTTTTTTTTTTTTTTTACTGGAAATCAGTTTTTTATATCTAAAGGAGCAGATTGGTGAAGAAGGCTGCAGAAAAACTGCCTCTCTTGATGTATAGATGCTAACTCCTGTTGCACTCCTCTGCCATCATCTTTGTTCACACAAGTTAAAAAAGGTCACATGAAAAATGCATGAATGTGGCTGGAGGTTCTCACAACTCGTGCATGAGGAATTGACTGAATATTCATAGTTGTGCTCGCTGGGTGACAGGGAAAGATCTCAATAGGCAAGCTAAAGGAGTTAGTTGGCTTCCAAGGAAATGCTTGATTCAATACTGATAGGTTGACTGGAAAGCTACTTCAGCTCCTGTGGGTTTCCATCGGATCTTATGTATATCTCACCACAAACATGTCTCGCTAAAACAACCTCTGTTTTGACTCTCGTTGAGAGGGAAGGTTGTTTATCTACAGTCTATATGTGATGCTGGAAACAGAATGAAAAACAGGTAATACTTTCCTTAAATTAAACAGGGGACCAACGCTTTCCGTATGAGAAGTGGTCTTAAGGGTAAAAAGAGCAGTGTATCCTGCACCTCCATGACTTTAGTTGTGGTACACACTAAGTTGTTCTTGTGCAAATTTCTAATCTGCCAGATCCTCTAGTAGAGCTGCTCAGTGGCCCATCTATCCGGTTTTTCTTGAACTTAGAAGCAGATGGTAAAATAAGAAATATATATTTACAAAACTTAGGAGAATATTTTAATTGGAATCAATGCCACATCCAAAATGAATGATGAAAAACAAAAATGTTCTGTACTAGTAGTTTGTTAGCCCAAAATAAAGAGGATGGGAAACAAACTGATAAACACTAGAAGTAACATTATGTTCCTGATTAGCATGACGAGTCAATCAGTGGTGAGAGACAGACAGGTGGGGCAAAACACAAAAAACTGTGATATGGAGTTAATGGAGAATCATGAGAACACCTTAGACCTGTGTTATATGTGAAGAGGAAATACATATGATTGCTGATCTGTAAGACTAAAGAGTATAAATAAAGTTTAAAAAAAATATATCTGAATGTATGTCATTTCCCAGATAAACTTGTCTCATCCCATCAAAACTTATTGAATTAGAATAGATTCTGAAACCCCCTGAACTCACCAATATTTCCAAAACCTTGACTTAACTTTAACTTTCCTGAGAGGTATTATCATAGAGGAGTGCGATACTAATATTTCAACCATTTGACTTTGCTGAAAATTATTTTTAAGGACGCATTTTTTCAAGACTTGGACATTTCAGTGTTCAAGAAATCAAACCTTTGTTGCGTTTGAAGAATACTAGGGTTGAAAAAAACCAAAGAAACCACAAATTTAATCCTTGCAACCTTAATTTTAATTGGTTATTCATTAGAAATACCTTACCCTAATACAATGTGTGTGTATATTATGTACTTTTTAATGTAGTATTCTCCTTAACCTCCAAAATGTATTCAACTCATATCATCTTTTAAATGTTTTTAATACCAAAACAGAGAGTGAAAAAAGACCAAGTAATTTCATGTAAACGATAGAAATTCAACTTCTAACTAGATTGAGTTATACTTTCTGCATTACATGTTTTTATTTGAATGACAATGAAATAAATATGAAAAAATGAATGAAACATAATCATGTGGCTTTATTTCATAAAATACTGGCAGTTAAAGACAGATTTGTTTTAACACAGTTTTGCTATTGTTATTTATAAAACAAATCTAATTGTAATATTCTCCTCCTAATCCTTTTCAGTGGTCGTGTGAAACCCTTACTTGGCAGATTCAGCAAGCTTGAAGCCCTGCTGTCTGAAATGAACATGAAGCCAGGCAGCGTGGATGCTGTCCTGCTGGACGCTGGCTGCTCCTCCATGCAGATGGATCAGGCCGACAGAGGCTTTTCCCTCAGTAAGGACGGGCCTCTGGATATGAGAATGGATGGAGAGAGGTAAGAGAACTTAAACATACTGAAGGTCTGGAGGGTTAATGAAAGAGTTACATTAATTATCTTGCATTAACATATTTGGATTAGAAACCTCACACTTCATTTTCTGTATTAACAAGGTTTGGAGGAGCTGGATAATCTGAGTCACTGTTTCCTTTAGATAACTTCTTACTCCTTTGAGCTGTCATATGAAAGTGTAGCTAATAACCAGAAGTCAGCCAATTGGTCAGCCAATAAACGGGCTAGTATGGACCTCAAAATATGTTTATTAACTGAATAAATTCAAAAATCTGTTTCAGATACATTAAATGTGTGATTTTTTAAAAAACCCTTGTTTTTACTGCGAAACTTCTTCAGGTTTCTATAAATATAAATGTTCTTTTTTAGGGACAAAGAAAAAAGGAAAGCAGCGTTTTATACCTTTATAAACTCAGAGGGGTGCGAGGTGTTGTGTGTGACAACATACCACAGTCATTAATATACTTACATTCAACTTTGGTTTCTCAAAACCACGTAGTAATATTATTATTATTATTATTATTATTATTATTAATAATAATAACTGTATTTATAAAGCACCTACAATTCACTTAGCAGATGCTTTTATCCAAAGCATCAGAGCCTTTAACAACAGACAAAGCATTGGCAGGAACTCAGGTCAATAATACATTAAACATCAGCAGAAAGGCCAAACAAAGAGATTTTCACAGAAAGGAAATATAAATATATGTATATACATAAATGCTAATACAAGTAATAAGAAGCTAAGAAAATATACAACAGGCCGGTCTCAAAAGACATTTAAGACATTGAAGTCATACAGTTTAAGAAGGTCAACAAGCAAAGACGATCTATCTGTCCCTAATTCCAAACATGACACCTATCATTGACATAACTTATCAATTGTAGAAACACATTGACAAATCCCATAAACAACTTGTGCTGTTGGTTCAATAGACTAGGAAAAAAAGCAACCATTATATTAATAATGATTATTTATGTGTTTGATGCATGCACACTTTTTTTAAATATTAAAAGCCACTTAATTAAATCTGTTCTCCCTTTTATAATTTAGTGTACCGCTTTTTATTTTTATCTAGACTACATTTGCTTTGATTCATTTGGTGAGAAATGAGGGTTAAATCAACTTTGAGGGCGGACCAATTTGCGCACATTACAGATGTGTTGTTACTGACAGATAAGCAACAACAAATGGAAGTACAAAAAGACAATTGTGACTTTATTTAAAAATGTGTCCACTTTTCATGAGAGCACTATGTTGTATTCTCATCCTAAAAAAAGTAAATGACGCAAGTGTTTTGATAAATTCAGATCTGCTGTTATATCAGAATGAGATCTTTATCTTGATCGTTTAAGCCAGAGACATTTCATAAATATTCTCAATAAAGTCCATAAGAATACACATTTCTTGCTTCCCTATAAATAAACACATTTTTGGCTGCCATGAAATTTAGTGGCTCATTTTCTTTCTGTTGGAATCAGCCGGTATTATAAGCCCATATTACTGAATGTTGAGTGTGAGTGTGTAATCCAAAACCCTTCTGCAGACATGTTAAGCCCATTCATAAAGGCTTCTCTCATATCAATCAAGCTTGCGTCGCTCTGTCTCTCACTCAAGCAATGTAATGCTTCCTTAATGATTTCAGAAATGTATATAAATCACTTCACAATAACAGCTTAATGTGCTAAGCAAGCAGCTAAAATAACCCTAGTATATGCTTTTGCAGAAGCTGCATCTCTCCTCTCATTCCCTCACAGTCCTTCTGTTCACAACTGTCAGCCATAAAGATTTTCAGCTGTATCTCAGAGTTGTCAGGATTCGCCACTGTCAGCAAGGACATGACGTCAAGCAGCTTAATTGGTCTTCTCTTTGTGCGTAGGTACCCCGACATGCCCTGCGCTGCTGACGTTGTGAATACCTTAGATCAACAGGCTCTTGCATCCATCCTCACTGCATATGGGGAAGAAAGACACGCCTGGAAAATAGCTTCAGCCATTGTGGAGGCACGTCGTGTCAACCCCATCACCCGGACGCAGCAGCTGGCCAGCGTGGTGGCAGGTATATCTCGACACTCTCCTGATCAATTCCCTGCAGAATTTTGGAGGGAAAAATAAAGCACGAGTGGAGTTATTGAGGCTGTCTCCCTGTGGAACTTGCGTGTCTCAGAAAATTACATGGACTGTGACCTCAGTCATCTTCCTCTCTCCTGCCTCTGTTTGGTGATTTTTTTGCACATTCCTTTTAAGATTGAGGGAAAAAAAAAGAGAGAGCTTGAGGTCCAGGAACAGACTGTGGCTAATGCCTTGAAAATAAACAGCATCTCACACACAGTATCCCATCTTTCTCTCCCTCAATATTGCCTTTTATTGCTTTCTCCCCCCCCCCCACATATTCCCCCATTGCTCTGCTCACAAACATGCACACACCTCAATGCAAACACCAAGATCTGCTCACACACACACGACACCCTCATGCAAAAATATAGGGTTACTTTGTTTATCCACGCTGTTTTCTTGAGCGTTTTTTTATAGACGTTTGCCTTCAGATTTAGCCTGCTGAATGATTGAGATGTCGTTTCAGTAGTTGTTGCACAGAGCAGTATGTGCGTCAGTGTCACCCTGGGAGAACAGGTGTGAGTAAGAGCAGCTGTTTCATCTTTTTTTTTTTTTTTTTAAGCAGAGCAAGTCACCACGCATGTTTATTTAGAACAATAAGAGATGTCTTGATTTTTTAAAAAGTACATTGGGGTTATTATAACAGTTATGACAGTGATACTGACGGGTGGGGAGTGGTAGGTGGGGTTAATGTAGGGACAAGGTGGTATCAGGACATAATGTGAGAAACATCTTGTTCCTACATTTTCTTCCTGAAGCGAGTCTTAATATAAACTAAATTAGAGTTGTTCTGATACTGACACCAGTGCCTGTATCTGAAGGGTCTCCGTGACAGACAAAACTGTGGTTACAATCAGTCATGCATGATTCCCTAATTTCCACCCCATTCTCATAAATTGGTTGATTAGTTCCTAATGTGAGAACTATGGCACTGCTCTAACAATTTGCAAATCTGCACGTTTCTATTTTGATGCATACAGAGATTAAGTCATGAACCTATAGGGTTTGCTGTATTCTGTCATATGCTATGATATTCGAAGTATTGTAATTATATTCGAATAATATTGTTAGTGACCTAAAGATCACATCATTTTATATTTAAATGTTTTAATAACGTCAAACATTTACAGAACAATGCTATCGCCATGAAGAGGTTGTTTTTTTTTTAAAGTTTTGTTTAGTTTTTTTTAGAGGTGTTTAAGAGGCTGAATTTATAGTAGCGGCTCACCCATTCCAACCCAACCTTTAAGTTAATGGAAACGTTGTTAATTGTGTTGAACGCTGACAGCAGGAACCAAGTCTGAAAAGGCATCTGTTTTAGCTCAATTACAGCAACAACAGCACCAAATACATTCAAGTCAACACCACGGCTTAATGATCCTGTATTAACGCGTGTGCTTGTGCGTGTGCGTGTGCATGTGTGCGTGTGCGTGTGTGTGCGTGTGTGGGCGCGCGTGTGTGTGTGTGTGGCTAGGGGGAAGGACATTGTGGTTTTAAATCAAATGCCAACAAGCTGTTTAACCTAAATTTCCACCAACACATCACTTCTAATTTAAAATGCATTAAGAACAAGTTTACCTGTTGAAAAGTACTAAAAGATAGACACAGAAGATGTGATTAGATGAACCAAAGGCTTGTCTATGCCTCAAGCCACATTTCCTTTATTTTATTCTTTTTTTACTTTCTTTAACAGAAAATCTTTGTGATGCTGTTTGTTCAGCGGTGAAAAAAATGCACTTGTTTATTTTTCTTCTTCTTAATGACCTAATTCCCCCTTCATGCACACATCATCTCATATCTTCTTCTCTCCATGGATCTGTCTGTAGTACATTTAAAAGGTGAATTAGAAGGAGAGTACATGGCTTGGTGAGACCAGACCAGGGCTGGTCCTTGCTGTGCAGGCATTGTATTGATTGCAGTGTGAGTCACACCTCGGGCTGTTTAGTGCAGGAGGAGAGAAATGCCACATCACTCACTTCTCTATTTATTGCAGTTTCTCTTTACGTCTATATAAGTGTCTAACTGTTCTTTAGCCTTCTGTGACGTAGTTATGTGTTGATCAGTCTTGGCTCTCCAAAGTCTTAACATGTATTTATATAAAGCTCATTTTGATGTATTTAAGTCGTGCAGATTATTCTCAATACATTTGCAATTGGAGTTTTGGTCCTTGCCCTTTAGGAAAACATTAATGTATCTTTTTGTGACTTAAATCTGACGTGTTTGAAGTCGTACCTTTCTCCATATTGCTCATTTATTTTGAAGAGGGGTCACCCAAAAAGCAACGTAGGTGTTAAAGTTTTGTAAAAAAAAAAAAAAAATAGTCTGCTTATAACAGGAAGGGATCTACATCCGTATTTTTGGTGACACATCAGCCATATCAACATGGTCTCCGCCCTCCATCTGCCCTGCACAGAGCTTCTGATGGACCTGTCACTGAGTCCTGCTGGACCTCTTTTTCCATTGGTTCATGATTGATCTTTCCTGTGCTCTGAATTCTATTTAATCACTTCTTTGAATTAACAACACACAAACTGAAGAGAGGCAGAAAATGTAAGCTATGGCTAATATACACACTTGTTATAATCCAATTTAATCACATTAGGCTACTTTGTTTTTACTCAAAGAGCTTCTTTTTTTTTCTTCTGACCCATGGATATCCCGACATTTGTTGTGATAATCGCACTGCTTACACCTGTGGGTTGTTGAGTCATTGGTGGCGTTAGAGTCTTCAGTGTCACAAGACTCAAGGTATGGTTTGGTGGTGTGTTAGCTGATAAGTGGTGTGGCAGTGACTCAGATTGACACAGATGGCCTCCTTCACTCCTCCTCCAAATTAACTCAAATGTGTATATTACCACCGAAGGTAGTAGTTCTTCTTGTCCTTTGGGTGCATGTAGACTGTGTGGTCTCCTGAAGAGTTGACCTTTTTCATTTCACTGAGCTTGTGAGTGTTGGGTTGTGTACTATGTATTACATCCCCCTTTCTTTTGTCATTGACCTATGAAAACCATTCATGATTAAGGTTCGGGAGACATCAAAGTTATGGGTAAGGTTAGACACAAAAAAAAACAATACAAGTTGTTGGTCTGAAGCCAGTCATGAACTCTGATCAGTGGCATGAGTGTAATAACCAAACCTATCTCAACTAGCATGTAATGAACTAACCTCTCCAGTGAAGCCATTTAGCCACATCCCATAGATATCAGGGTAAGCTGAATACACATACCCTGCATGCAAACTGGCTGAAGACACTGTGTCAGTGTACCTTATCAGGCAACATGGTTCTTTGGCTTCTCAAAACATCTTCACCGACTTGCTTGAATTTGCCTCTGAACAGACGCACGTTGTCTAACAGGGGTAGGCTAAACGGCACTAAATGTGGCTTTGACAACATTGTAACTGCATGCAGAGACCTTTGTTGGACGCCAAAGTGCACCAAACCAAATTCCTGCATTTTGTTACTTTAAAAGCTTGACATTCAAAGCACTGGGGATATTGATCGTTTCCTTAAGAAAAGAATAATTACTACCAAGCTACCGAACTATTAACCAAAAAAAATAACTTCCAAGGGGTCCACCATTTCTGACTTGAAAATGAACTGTGCAAAGAAAAAGTCTGAGAGAGAAAGCTGCATCTGAAATGCATTCAGGCTGGCGGCACGGTGACTCGAGACAATACGGCAAATGATGAAAATACTGGATGAAAATATGTCGATATTGTGGAATCTTGTTTTACTGAATTTTTATTTTCAGAAAACACAAGGATGAATTAATTAATCAATGACCCTGGATGACAACTGTGAAGAGACTAGAGGGACCACATGGTTTATTCAGTCTTACATTCAGAGTTAAACACAAATTTGTCAGTTTGTAGCCACACAAGACATTTAATCTACACCTTTTGGTCTTCTGAATTCATGGTTGTGTTGATGTCTCATTTCATGTTTTTTTTTTTTGAGACTTTAAGACCTCAACATTTTTGTTTTTTGACATTTTGTGAAATGTTAATTTTATATCTGACTACATACACACTGCATTTATCTGGTATGATGTCCTGTATTTTTTTTTTTACTGCATATGTAACAGTCAAAAAAGCGGATCGCAATGTAACTTTTTTTTCAATATGATACAAATCAACTTGTTTTTATAAGATCCCCTCACTCTGACATTTCCTTTGCCTCTAGGATCACTTCCTGCAGCTGTTGTCTATGCACGTAAAGACCGGCTCCACCGACCTGCACATGTGGCCACTAAGACATTCCAAGCTCTGCGTATCTTAGTGAACGATGAACTGAACGAACTCCACGCAGGGCTGTGTGCCGCCCGGGCAGCACTAAGACCTGGAGGACGTCTCTGCGTGATCACCTTTCATTCTCTAGAAGACAGACTGGTCAAACGTTTCCTTCAAGGAGAAGACTTGTCTAATCTGGACCAGTATCACTTTAGCCCGAGGAAGGGGGGGAAGGGAAAGATGTTGGATGAAAAAAGAGATGGTGGGAGTTTGTATTGGCGTCCTCTGCGAAGAAAAGTGATCACCCCAGAGAGGGAAGATGTCAAAGACAATCCTAGAGGACGCTCTGCTAAACTCAGGGCAGCTCTCAGGTGTTAATTTATGTACGAGAATCTTTTTTTCTTTAAATGTTTGAGTTGTTTTTTTTTTTTGACATCCAGAGTATTTTTTAACTATTACTACTATTATTATTCAACAATAGTTACGTAAAGGCTTTAGATTAAGTTACATAGATAAACTTGTACTGTATTTATGTCTTTTTATTCTTGCCTTTAAATGTACTTCTGTTCCAGTCATATGCTCCAAACATCAGCTGCCTATGGCAGTGGCTGGTGGCTGGTTTTTATTTAAAAAAAAGTATGATTGTATAGTAACGGGTGGAGAAAATGACCCCACTTCTCATTTGATCATTTAGCTTCTTTAACATATAACTAACGATTTAAAATTGATGATACTGGGACACTGGTGGTGCGGTGGTTGGTGTGCACGCCCCATGTATAGAGGCTGTAGTCCTCCAAGCGGGCGGCCCAGGTTCAAATCCTACCTGTGGCTCCTTTCCCGCAATTCATTCCCCACTCTCTCTCTCTCCCTGATTTCCGACTCTATCCACTATCCTATCCCTCCAATAAAGGCACAAATAGCCAAAAAATAAAACTTAAAAAAAAAAAATACTAAGGGTGTTGCTACCTGTGTAAGCATTACCTCATATGTAGAAAACAAAGTAGAAGCCGTGCATACAGTTTTCTCGCCATGGCTTTTTGCGACCCCTGTCCCTGGCTAGGCATCACGCTGGTTATGGCTGCTTCTTCTAGTCTATGAACTTCTATAAACATAATCATCAATTAATTGATGAATCCCCCTCAACATATTACCACTTGTTTATTTTTCTCTTAGGTGGCTGAAAAATACATTCCTGGAACCTTAAAGAATGTAGCACCGTACTGGGGTAGAGTAAGAATTGCATAGAAAACCTGACTTTGTTAGATTGGGATTAAACTGGCAATAAACACATCTCATGCTTTCTGAGTCGCTGGCACTAAAACATTTCCTAAAAACAATTTAAAACCACAAATGTGCACACAACGTTACATGTTTTTTCTGAGAGGCGTTACATCATGTTATTTTAAAAACATTTGACATCTTAACAAAATGTGTGCTTTTCCCCTTTGTTCATTAGAACGTACATCAAACTGAAGAGGATTCTCATAATCATTTGTTTTATCTTTAGTTTAATAAAGCACATGATAAAAAGTGTTCATCTTTTTTCTATGAAGAAATCTACAGTGAAAATATTTCAACTCTTGAATCTGTGTTTTTGAGATGCATGGGTTCATATAAGTATTAGAGTTTAGCATCTCATTGGGCTTCTAAAATGTCTAAACAAGACAGAAAGACCTTTTCCCATTGACGTCTGTATTTCCCCTGAACCTCCCTCGTAGAGCAGCTCAAGTGAAACCTCTACTCTACCATGTGAATCAGTAATGCCACTAAATACTGAATGACGCAGGTGTCAGAAGTGGTGCTGAATGAGCATGCTGGTTGTTCTAAAGCATTCTCTCACCTTCGACAGGAAGCAGATGAGGTTTTGTGATCTTTACTATTTGACTCCGACTAATTGTAATTAGTCCATCAAGATTATTAACACTTTTTTCCCCTCTGTCTTAGTTTAGTACTCTCTAAATATACCCTCCTTGTTACCTTGGAAACTAAATGGCGCATGTAACATTTAACCGTGTCTAAAATTATGTGCTCTTTTAATCTAATGTGAAATGATGCTATATCCAGAGTTTAAATGTCCCTCCCTTTTGACATCAGTGGATGTAAGTTAATGAAAATCACTGTCTCTGTTGAAAGAATATGTCACAGCATTTAATCATTTGGATGCTTAGTTTCTATTTTATTGCCACACGATCTTCACTGAATCACAGTTTAACCACATATCAGGAGGTGGTCATGTTACTCATGACTACATCACACACTGATTCGTAACAGAGTTTATATGAATATAAGATTTACAGAAATGTGGGGGTGGGGGGGTACTTTTTAAAGTAAACATTGCCTAATGAATGCTGTTTTTCTGAATGGTATATTCTTGCCATTTTTAAGCCTTTTATGCAGCCATATTTTTATTGTGCTGAACATGTCATGTCAATTTATTTATGTTTATGAACATATTGAATGTCTATGAAAAGGGGGCACTGACATTTTCACATGGCAGCCAGTTTGCTCTTGTTTCAAATTCAACATAGGAAACTCATTTGTAGTTAGAAAGTAAGACTGGTGTAATTTGTCTTAAGGAATATGCCTATTGTTTTCATATCATCGCTTCTAGATATGATGTTAGTATATATTTAAATGGATTCATTCATCTTGATAATTTTGTGGACATATCTTTAAATTGTGTCAACCATCTCACAGTAATTCTACTTTTGGATGTCTGAAGCTATAACCTTATATGGGTGAAGCACTTAAGTAGTAGCAGATCTATGTTTGGATAGGAGCCAACTATATGTTGTCAGCAACTGTTTGCTAGACAGAGAGTCTACATCTGTTATGTATACAAATCAGTGTCATGTCATCTTTATTGTTTTATAGTGATGTACCCAAATGGAAAGGAATTTGTGGGCTGTACCTTCTAGCAGAATATAAGCAACACTGTGTGATGAAGACTTTGCCATTTTGCCCATGATTGTCAATGATTGTGAGATCTTGGTCAGCATGGGTCAGCGATGGTCTGCACTTTGTCAGCCATGTGTGTTGTGTTTCTGTGTTGTCTGGCCATGGCTGGATAAATCTAAGATGATCCACAGTCTGTTTCACGTTTTCATAATTGTCCATCTACTACAGAAATAACCCCCACCTAACATATGAGCAACATGGATGGAAAAAAAAACTATGGACAGTTTTGATTTTGAGGGAGGTAGGGGCATAATTCAAACTAAAACAACACATTTCATAACCCATTAGCTACCATCTCAACACCAAATGTTGGCATTCATTCACATCGCCGGTGGCGTCATGTTAGCTGAGAATTTCAGCTTTTCTCTTCTGTATCATGCTGGGGGAGCATGTTTAGGCAATATGCGATGAAGAAGAAGAATGTCTGCAGAAATTAAGCTACCTTTGACTTTGGCTATGTGTCTTGGGCTAATGTTAGCTACGGCTAGCAGACAGCTGCTAGTTGAATTTAAATTACAAAGAAATGTTAGCAACAGTTGAGACTGTCTGTCCAACTGTTATCGGTGGCGAGAAGCAGATTTCAATGCGGGGGCAGTTGTAAATCCAATGTAACTAATTTCTCAGTAACCCATGGCTTGTTAGCAACTACACTCTCTAAAGTTGTCTTCCTGATTTTTTTAAATGAAGGCTGGTGTTTGTTCTTAGTATAAGTAAACTACTGACATATTAGGGGAATATTAGACAGGAACAAAAGTGATAAGAAATTATTATCTATGACGGCAAATTCTCCATTTCTAGCAGTCAGCTTGGACAATATGGTCTATCCTTATATTGACTACCTGAGGCATTACTATTAACAACTTTTATTGAATCACATCTCAAGACACAGGTGAGATTTTAAAACGTAAGAATGAAGCTTTATGCGTTTGTTAAAAAATAAAGGAAAAGTATCAACATTTTATTTCAATGTAATGGTTATCCTGACTTGAACAATCTCTAACAGAAAGAACCCAGTAAACAGAACATCACTACATACTTTGTTATTTAAGTTTGTTGCAAAGCTTTATACTTTGTCTTCACAGCAGGGATGAATGTACAGCTAAAGGCAAATATAGCCCTAAAGATGACTCTTTTCTTATTTTTTTTGTTGACTCCAATGTGAACCTTTCACCCTGATATGCCAGACGACACTGTCGCTTCTCAAAGCTTTTAATGTCCAGCCCAATTCTTTGAGATGTCAGTCAGAAATTCAGGACCAGACATTGCCAAAATGCATGCAGTAAAGAATCGTAACTAACTGCAGTTTTGAAGACCTGTACTTGACATTCAAATATAAAGCACTTATACACAGACAAGCTGCTCTGCATTAGCTCCACAAAATGAGATGGCGAGTTTCTGCCACCTCCTTCAGTCAAGAGAGAAAAGTAAGATAATGAAAATTGATAATATATATGAAATGATAAAGAGAGCTACATAAACATGAGTGAGAATCAGAAATATTTTATTTATCCTGGGAGGAAATTCCGGATTGATTACCTGGACTATGGAAATTATATTTTTTACTGATGATTATCCAAAGATCAAATACTATATGTCTTAGTAAAATATGTCAGACATCAAAGCCCTACGCCTGAAGAAAGACCTGTTTGTCATCATCAATTTTGCAGACATTTAAAAAATAAAAACATTTTTAACGACACAAGGTGTTTGGGAACGAATAAGTAAGAATACACATACAACACAAGAACAAAGGTGGATTGAGCTTGTGTGATGTTTGTTTCAGTCATCAACTTTAAATCTCACAGTGAAAAGTTTGTGGAGAAAAAGTTAAAGTAAGAGGAGGCAACACCAGGTGAGGAGGAGGAGGATGAGTCACTCACAGATAAAACGATTTTGTAGTAGTACTTTTATTTAGAAACTGTATCAATAAACAATTTTGATAGAAGAAGGCAAAGTATTTGATTGAGGTAGTTACTAAACACAGAGGTGATTTCAGATTAACAGTTTATACAGCAGACCAAACAAGAAATGGTTCCTCTCTAATCATGTTTTTTAAAAGTCTCAAAAGATCACGTCCATATTTTTTGCCTCTAATTTTTTGGGCTTGATCTGCAGTATTTTTGTGTGAAATTTGTCTGTAAGAGATACACTTTCTTCCTGAAAATACTGATTGACGTCTATTGAATTGTTTACAATTATTCCATTTCGGCTCTTATTACCTTTTACATATTTTCCTAGACAAATTAAAATTAGACCAACCTAACAGGTAGGAAAATGTATTCAGCCATCAGATGTTATTAAATAGATGTTAACATGTAGCATCCATTAACCCATCAATGTACACGGTGGAATTTCCTTCACAGCAGTTTTAGGCTACCAGCTGAGCTTAGAACAAATACATTGAAATTCTTGAAATTGGGCAAAGTATGAGGCTTCAGCATCCTTTTCTCTTCAACAAATATTTGTAATTGTTGGTCACAAGGGTAGGCAGGTTACTTACATTTTTAAGAGAAGAACCTAAAACAACAGGTTGGGAAATTCTGATCTTCATAATTATAGACAAATAATCTGGACTCTTTCAATATATGTTCCAGAAGAATTATGATAATATTGTTTCTTCTTGGTCAAGTATTCAAAGTTTTGCGGACATGTGTGACATTTTCCTACAGACTTCTTTAGGGTTTCTGTGTATGTATTGTGTTGTGATAGTTTTGAACGATGCTGTGAAAATGGGGTTATTTCAAATGAACACATTTATTCTCTTTGGCAAAGAAAAGCACAGACAGAAATCTCCATGTAAATCCCAAGTCTGCTGCAGATCCTCTCCCACGGGGAATCATACAAAAGGGTGGGGCGATTGAACAGTTAATCTACTTT